CAGGGCGCCGTGTGGGAAAAAAAAAAAAAAAAAAAAAAAGCAGTGTTTCTCTCCTGGGCGGCCAGGAGCGGGAGGCTCCCAGAGCTCCCGGGAGAGTTTTTTTTTCTTGTTTTGTTTTTGACGGCAGCAGAGCCGCCGGACAATAGAAAACTGTCATTGCTAGCTCCACACAATCGTTTTCTATTTACTTTTTTTTTACTTTTTTTACTATTTTTCTGTTCTGCTCGGTCCCTCTGAGGGACCGAGCAGAACAGCCGAGCCGAATGCCGCTCAGCGGCATTCGGCTATTCACTCACTGCTGTTCGGCATCTATAAGAATAGGCCGAACAGCAGTGAGCAGCCTGCCAGAGGTTTGGCTCAGCTGATCCAGATGTTGGATCGGCTGAGTCGAACTCCTTCTGCACTTTGGGTCACCCGAACAAGCTGAGCATGTTCGGCCGACCCAAAGCCATGCGAAGCAAGCCGATGTACGGCTGATTTCAGCCGATGTACGGCTGAAATCAGCCGTACCAGCCTGAAGTAAATAGCCGAACAGTGTTCGGCTCACTTCACTTCAGGTCGGCCATTCACTCGGCTGCCTACGGCAGCTTAGTGAATAGACCCCAATGTTTTGTTATTGCTGTCTATACATTCAGTCCTGATTACTTCTTGTATGGCCATCACAGGGAGAAAAAAAAAATCTACCCAATCGGGTCATAGACCCGATAAATACCAAAAATAAATTCCAAGGCTCAGGCCACACTGGAGCGGTTGTCCGTGCGTATTCGTACAGCCGAAAATGCAGGGAACCGCTCTAAACATTAATGTGCATTGTTCATACTGTTGCGGGGACCACGCAGTACAAAACCGCGTGTCCCGCAAAATTGTCCAATCGCAATTTCAGAGGCGGATTCCGCACATTCACGGCTATTACCGCAAACGAGATGAACTTGTAGTGAATGGGCACATAGCTGGTAACAGAGCTGGAGAAACTACAGAGAATTTGGGGCCCAAACTGTCTCACATAAAAAAATCAATGCATGCAATTCCTCTACAAGGGTAGACTTTTGGTAAATCAGTGATAAGCAAGGGTAATAGAAGCCCCTATGACATTAAAGTGTACCTATACTCAAAAGTTTTTTGGATAGAATGGATAAAGGTTAGAACCCCTGTAGAGTTTGTTGCTTGATTTACTAAAGGAGGATCTGCACATTATATTTTAGTGTAAGGTTTGGCCACAATTTTAAAGAGTAAAAAAACAATATACAGAAGCACATATTAAAGTCTTACCATCAGTACACAGCAGTGCTCGGAGGTCTCTGCTCAGGAGTTCAAATCTCTGTTCCAGGTCTTGCTCCTCTGTACTACAATGCAAAAATTTAGCTTTTACATTAGACTGGCAAATGTAAATTTGATTCGATAGACCAATCAATTTATTGTTGTATTAAGATCCATCATAGGAATGAAAGAGAAAATAAATCTCTCCATCACTTACAGTAATTGTAGTTCATCTTGTCTCCTGATTAAAGCATTTTTCTTATTAACCAATGTGAACCATTCCTGGATAAGGATCTCCTCTGCTTCTTTGTCACAACCTTGAAATTAGGGGGATAAAAGGGTTTCAGTGCATGATGGGAAAGGGTAATGCTGTTTTGTCTTCCTCATTTACTACTTTACTTTTATAGTTTGGGCGCAAAATCTTGAATGTTGTATTTAATATGTGATCATTGGTGTTTGAAAGTAGTGTAAGGCCCCTTTCACACGGGCTGATCAGGAGAGGATCCGTGCACGGATCCTCTCCTGATCACAGCAGTACGGAGCGGATATTCATTCCGCTGTGACATTCGTGTACGCACAGTTTTTTCCTCTACCTTGCGATGGAGAAAAAAAATGTAAACTGCCGGACCCCATGTTGGTCTATGGAGAATCTGATGTAAATGGACATGTGTCCTTTTACATCAGATTACCCCCGATCTGGCACAATCCGGTCTGCCGAAACTCTGATCTGTCTGTTACATAGTATTTGAGGTTGAATAAAGACATTAGTCCATCAAGTCCAACCTATTAGGATCTCATTCTAGGAGTACTGGTACCCCTGTATATTGCGGTCCCTTCAGAAATCGTCCAAAAGTTTCTTGAACAATTCCACATTATTTGCTGAAATCACCGCCTGTGGCAGTGAGTTCCAGACCCTAACTGATCTTACTGTGAAGAACCCCCTTCGCCCCTTGTGCTGGAATTTTTTTTCCACCAATTTTAGGTGGTGGCCTCTAGTTTTTGTAATGGAGTTAATTTTAAACAGTTTATCGCTAATGTTGCTAAAAACAATCCCACATCTGGTCTGTGTTTAGGTTTTGAAATATGTTTTCCCATTTTATTTCCCCCACTAGGTTGCGCAGCTTATCAAAGTTGGCCCTTCTGAAGTTTAGGGTTCTAATCCTTCCAGTACACTTCCCTTTTCTGTGTTCAATATTAAAAGTAATCACATTGTTTCTCTGGAGTCGGCCAGAGGCGGGCTTAACTGACATCCATTTACACAAGGCTGCCCATAAACTTGCATTGGGCATCCAATTGGGTCCACCTGAAAAACTGACAGACGGATTCGATCAGAACAGCCGTCTGAAAGGGGCCTAACTCTTTTGCTATGTTTTTACCAAGGGCAGAAAATATCAACAGTGCTTCCTTCTACAGTATGTATCAAAGGAATACATGGCAAAATGAGATTATATGTAATACAATACCATTTTCCATTAGAGTTCGAAGATCCTTTTCTACTACTGCAGCTCTTGTATCAATTTCTTTTTGCTGATCCTCCAAAGCTGCAAGCTCAGAGATCACATACTGGCTGGTGTCTTTTAGAAGCTGAAAAAAATTAAAATATATGACATATGGCTTTAGGGTATGTTAAATGGTAAATAAGTATATTTAATAGCCTAAGGCTAACCATAGAAATAACAGAATGGGATTAGCATGTATCATTTGACTTGCATGACCCTTATTTCAACAATTCTTCTTTGTTTTTAGCTACAACTGTAGGATATTTTGAAAATGGTAATGCACTTAACTAAATGAGAGTCTATGAGAGAAATATGCAGTATAAATGTTATCAAGTCATACCACAGGTTCCTCCTCTTTCACTGGAGCTTCGGCTGTGTCGACTTCACTGGCAGTAAAATAAACAGCTGTCGATGTAGATTGTTCTGAGCAAAACAGAAAAGTCGAATAAAAATCCAAAAAAAGAGCATAAGACTTTTTATTAAAGACATATAAAATAAATATAACAATAGTATTGTAGTTATTAAAACTTGGGTTTACTCAAGCATGCTAAGCATATATATGTCTAGCAGGATACACACAGGAGACCTTTTTAGAGCCTTCAAGCATTACCTAAGTGCAAGCCACACTCCTTTTATATTCTACCACTTTCCAGCCCCATTCTTGCTTGCTGCTAGCAAGAATGGGGCTGGAAAGTGGTAGAATAAAAAAGTCCTGTCTTTTTACCTATTGCTTAGTGAAGGCTCCGGCAGAAGCTTTACCAGGCACAGAGGTTCAAGCAGCAGGATTGGAGACAAGAGTGTAGAGCTGCTCAATGTTTCTAAACTCCTTCTGGGACCATGAACTGTTTCTTCTGACTGGATTTACATTGTACCGTATAACATTATACTGTATACAATTAATGTCTGGTATATGTCTGTTTAGTCTCTATATTGGCTGCTTTCTGTATATATGAAACAATCCACTGACCAATATATTTCAGTTTATTAAATTTCCATGCCTCAGTTGCCAGGTCTGTACACTTGTGATAGCTATAACAAGTGGGCCTCCTTTACTTGTTATAGTTTTTATTTATCTTAATATATGAAACATGCAACAGGAAGTATATGAACAAAATTGCTGTACCACGAGGAATGAGACTCCAGTTAGAACATATCTGAAACCTATGTCAGCAAGAACACCAACTTTATACTAAAATACAGTTTACTACAAATATTTTTGGTATAGTGACATTTTAGAAAAAGTATCAAAGCTATACATTATTTGTTTATTATTCATTGCTTATTGATTGAGCACTCCCCACTAGCTGCGTGCAAACATAATGAGGGGGCTTTATCAAAACTGGAGCAGACAAAATCTGGAGCAGCTGTGCATGGCAACCAATCAGCTTCTCTCTTTCATTTTCTAATCTTAACTGAACAAACTGAAGAGAGAAGCCGATTGGTTGTCATGGGCTCCAGTTTCTGTCTGCTCCAGTTTTAATAAATTCTCCCCTATGCATCTAGACTACAACTAATTCCTCCACTAAGTTGATAAATTAAATGTCCTACCAGAAAAGGAATAGAGGAAAGTAATCCATATATAGTATTACTGAAGTACACAAAAAACGAATAACAGCTTGTATGAAACATCACCAATTCAAATCAAATGTATAATGTATTGTGTGAAATATATAGCATTAAAATAGTTTTGTGTGTTAAAATAACTAAATGTATATAAGATCACCCTTCTGCAACTCATGCTCTGCTGTTTACTTCCTTGTCCTTTTTTTTTAACCTCCTCCACCCTCTGTTACCTGCTGGTTGGTCTGATTGAAAAGACTGTGATGAAAATGATTTTATTGCAGAGAAGTCCATAATTGTGCCACTTTATAGATCACTGGTTCGGCCTCATCTGGAGTATGCGGTCCAGTTTTGGTCACCAGTCCACAGAAAGGACGTCCTTGAGCTTGAATGAGTCCAGCGGAGGGCAACCAAACTAATTATAGGAATGGAGGACCAGAGCTATGAGACACGACTACATATATATATATGTGTGTGTGTGTGTATATACATATGCACACATCAGCAATAGGTTGGACTTGATGGACTTGTGTCTTTATTCAACCTCAAATACTATGTAACTATGTAACTTGCAAGATTGGTAATATTTTCAGATCAAAGGAAATACATTTGAAAAAGTAAATGTTAAAAATAATATTGTTACAATGTATGTATAAACACTCCAGCAAAACACACAAGGACTTAGCTGTCAAAATGGTGTCCGTTTTGTAGGTATGCTACAGGTATGACTGCTTCTCCCAAGTGCTTCTTTGGTAGGTTGGCGTCTGACAGCATCCATCTGGCCATTTCTATAAGTGTGATTTTGTCCGTTCTGCTACACCGTATTGTGCAGGAGTGTATGGTGTTGTGGTCTGGTGCACTATACCTTGTTTGTTCAGATAGGATTCCACTTCCTATATTGAAATCAAAGCGCTGTGGACAGATCCTGATGCTGAGTGTTGTGAGTGCAGGATTGCTAGGGGTGCTGCCCCACTTCAGCCAGGGGAACTGTAAAACAAATCAATGTAATGCCACAATCGAGTGGCACACAGGCTAATTGCAGTCCTGAAATCGATGTATCTTTGAAACCACCCATACATGCATTTGTTCGACCCACCTTTGTGAGTACTATTGCATTTAAATTCTGTGTCTTTTTAAAATAAAAAATCATCTGCACTAGGGTGCTCGCCCTTCTATTTCTTTTGTTTTAGCATTCCACTTCCTTAACAATGTATTCCCCTCCTTTGTCGGTGCTTATAATTCTTGGTCTCCTTTGGAATTTGTTGCTGGACATGTCTACAAACTCTTGAAGTTTTTCTGATGTTTCATTCTTGTGCTTCATCAGATAAGTTGCTGTGCACCTGGAATAATCATCAATGAAAAATCAGTAGATATCTGTTCCTGTCTGATGTAGGAGTTTTCATTGGTCTGCACACGTCACTGTGTATGAGTTCCAAGGGGTGGGTGGTCTTTCTTTGGGTGGCCTGTGGAAGTGGGGCCTTTGCATCCATACAGCATTTCCATGTCATAAGCATTTGGCAGGCCAGTACTGTTATATATTCTGATAAACCTTTCTTTATAATGTCTTTTATGGCTTCTGGGTTTCTGCGCCCTAGTCGTCTGTGCCATAGATAGATACACTTGTTGTGTGGATTATGAGTGTCTGTCTTGACTTGTTCATCTGCGGTGATGAGTCTGTATAGGTGTTCATCCAATTTTCCTTTTGCAAGGATTTTCTTATTGTTTCAGATTGTACATTCATCACCTCTGAATTGAACTGTGAGACCGTTATTAGCAAGGGTTTTCACCGATAGAAGGCTTCCTTCCAGGTCTGGGACACACAGTACATTTTTTTCACAAGGATACTCTGCTTGTCCTCTGATGGTGTGATGCAGTTCAAGAATCCTTGACCATTACCTTCCACAGTAAAACTTCTCCCATTTGCTAGGAAAACTTTGTCCTTTGCACTGAAATAAATTTCTGTGAAAAAGGTCTCATCACTAGTCATGGGACTTGTTCTGAGTCACTTTAAAGGTAGCACCTTATGATGTGCATGCAGTTGCCTTTGTGACTGCCTTAGTTTCTCTTGTGGGTGCCTGTCGCTTTCGCTGCTCGACTTTACTGATTGAACAGTCCTTTTTTCAGGTGACCAGTCTTTTGACAGCGAAAACACGCTCTGCTTTTTCTGTTTTGCTTTGCTCTCTCATGCAACTTAAGGGCTTTGTCAGGGTACTTCAGTCAGCACCCATAGTACAGCTCCTGTCTGGATCACTACAGGAGCCACTGCGCATATGCATGCTCATGTTCTGCGCTATGGTTCCAATATTGCACATAGGAAAAGCGAACATGATGTGCACATGCAACACAATGCAAATGCCTTAACGTGCACATGCCTGTTCTTGGCGCCAGGCAGGCTATTTAAGAATGGCTCCTGCATCTGCACATTGCTGAGAGATCTTAAGCTGCATCCTGCATTCATGATCCTGTTTCTGATACCTGTTTGACCCGGCTTGATTCCTGACTCTGCTGCTTGCTGCCTGCCTTGTGACATCGGCTTTTCCTCTGACCATCTCCTCATTTGGCAGCACTCTGCTCGCAATTGTATGACCCAGCCTGCTCCTGACATCACTTTTGCTTCTGTACCACGCTGCCGGCGCGTTAATGATCTGACTTGTTCCTGACTTTGCTTAGCTCCTCACACCAGTGCTGTCTGATCTGCTATCAACCACCAGCTACCTCTGGCATTCAGTGGTCAGCACCATCATCTCTGGTGTGTCAAGCATCCACATCAGGCACTCATGCCCCTTTCTATTTGTACAACTGCTATCTCCTCTCCAGTGGGGCTCAGACAAGAGTTACAAGGGGAGGCATTCTTCATCACTTCAGGCTCACACCAAGGTACGTGACACTTTCTTCTCATCTGTCATATTCATCTATTCCTTTTTCTTTGGTGTATTCTAGTGTTAGTTCCTGCTCAGGTCTGGTTTCTAGAGCGTTAATAAGAGCACTGTATGACTGTGGAAGGCTGCATAGCAGTAACGCAACCACGTGGTTATCTTTAATTTCCTCTCCAACTGTAGGTAGTTCTTCTATGATTTCCAGCATGGAATTCACATGTTCACGCACTTCCTGGCCTTTTTCTTTACTTTTTAGGTTTGAACGCTCATGCAGTTTTTATAATGCAGTCCACATACCTTTAGCCATATTTTTTTTTTCTGATGTGGATGAGCTGGTCGTCTTCCACTAGCAGACATATAATTGCTTTTGCTTGCCTGTTCTTCTTGTCCCATTCCTCCGTGGGTCCATTAGTGGGTCTGTCTGTGCTCAGTACTTGCCACAAGCCATCTTTGCTTAGCAACATTTTAACATTTTTATATCAGAATACAGCATTATACAGCATATAAAGATATGTTGCCATATAAAGTTTTGCTTGTGTAATATATTAATTAGATAATAGAATATATATATTTGACTGCATCTATCTGCATGTTATGTGACTCTCAGTTTCTCAATTGTGTTACTGTGAATCTGTCTGCTTTAAAGTCCTAGCTATTGTTTTGTTTGCTTATCACATCTCACATGGGGGTGTAAACAGCAACCTTATTTAAATCCTCCAATCAGGTTACGCCCAATGTACATTTGGTAGGCAGTGTACAGAAAGGAGGATATATAAGGTATTGTTAGCAAGCCATGTGCTCTCTTTTTAACTGGAACACAAGGGCATTCAGTATGAACAGGCGAGAAGCTGAGAGGTAAAACTCCACCACACTTGTACATTGTCTTGTAAATATTGTTTTGTGTGTTATTTGTAAATATGTAACCCTACCAATAAATGTATATTGCTGATGGAACTACTTCTTTTGTCTAAGAATCCTCAGATCTAGGGGTGTTTATGTGAATATTATTGTAGTCATTGGAATATATTTACATATCCATTTCACCTGGGTAATACATAACTTCCTGTATATATCATAGATATAAGCATGCATTTAGAAAACTAGCATAGAATAGCATTGCACTACAGTGCCATCTACAGCTCAAAAGACATAATTACAGTCAGTAAAGCAATCAGTATGCTGTTGCATTTCCAACACTGACAATCTATCAGTGTATGGCCAGCTTTAATTCCAGTGTGCAATGCAAGCTTTGTTTATACAGGAAATGCTGTTCACATTTCTGTATAGGTATAAACAAAGTTCAGGCTTGTTTACACTGTCGGTGTTTCTGCAGCAGACCTTGACTCAAACCTGGTCCCTTTGCAAGACCTACCACTTTATAAAACCTTTAGTCAGATATCTGTGATGAAGGCTTTCCTATACTTCTTCAGGATCCTAGACGACTGTGGTCATTATAGATAGTAAAAAGAGGCTAATGTTTTTCCATAAAGTTTTAGTTAACAATTACACACAGAAGAAATGCTCTGAAAACAGAGCCAACATGATCCATTTAAATAGTATTTACCATTCACAATTTGGGAAGAAGGTCTTGAAGGTGCTTCATTACTTTTTAATGTGGCGTCCATTTCCTGTAGTTGGAAGAATTAAAATATAGTAATTAATGTCACAAATAGGCAAAAAAAAGTAAAAAGAAGTAACTAATAATGAAAAAGAACCAAAAGGTGAAAAAAAACTGACCTCTTCTTGTGAAAGTGACTGGGATCGAATAAGAGACCGCCTTTTCTTCACAAGGTCAGCATCTCGAAGGTGACTTAGACCCACCCCTTTTCGTGGTGGAGCAACTGGAACAGTTGCTACCTGATTGGAAGTCTCTCCCTCTTCCAGGTTTACCTCTGTTAAACCTCCATTAACACTTAGTCTCTTCTTAACACGAGGAGGTGGAACAAATCCAGAATTATTAGCCCCTTTAACGGTACCTGGTATCTTCTCTTCTTCTGTATTTGTAACATCCTTTTTCTGAGGAACAGAGCTATTTTTTGTCGTTTGCTCTTCCACAAGAGATGATGACTTTTTTTCCACAACAGAGTACTTTTGTAAACTGTCTACAGGAGAAGATATTGCCAGTTCCTGTTTGTGAACACAGGCTTCATGTTTATTCTGTTTTTCAGACATGGTTTCTACTTTCCTTTTTAGTTCAGGTACCTTATTTTCTTGTATTATTTGCTTTAGTCTTTCATTTTCATCTGCTATAGCATGCAGTGCTTCCTGATGTAATGCAGGAGTAGAAGTTTTCACCTGCTGTTCATCAGGGGACAGGTTTGGAAGATTTTTATTCCCATGGTCTACATTTACAATGTTTTTCTCAGTAATGGGTGTGGGTTTAATACTGTGTTGCTCAGAGGTTAAGGGTATGATATCTTGATCTTTAGGAGTAATATTTTGTTGTTTAGAGTCTAAGTCCCTATGTAGTTCTGAAACAGTGATGTGTTTCTGCATATCTACATGAGGGTTTTGAGTAGTAGCAGTTGGATAATCACTTGAAGTGAAGTGAGATCGAATTTGGCAAAGGTATGTGAGAATAATTAGCTTGTCTGGCACAGAGCGAAGCAACATGTCAGATGGTGATAAAAGTGGTGGTATCCCAAAAGCAGCAAAACCATCATATGCCTACAAGTAAATGGAAAACATGTAGCTAAAATATGTTACTTAAAAAAAATATCAGGGTTATTCACATAAAGGTGAAGAGTTTGGAGAAGGCAGGAGAAGTGAACAATCTAGGCCAAAATAGGTGATTTGGCACGCAGAGGCCCCTCTGGGGGCACGCGAGCCTAGGTCCCGGTTACAGTGACCCGCACACTCCAGGTGCAGGTCACTGTAAAGTCATGTTAAGCTTTTAAAGATGGCCGCTTCGAATCGCGGCGCCAATCTTTAAACCTGGCAGGTGCCCAGATTCTGGGGGTCGGAGCCGCTATCATCAGCGGCACGCCAATCGGTGAGGAGAGAGAGCCGCTCTGCCTGGATCTGACACCCGGCGGCTCTCTGTCTCCTCACCGCACATGCTGCTGTGACAACGGCTCCGTCCTCCGACTCCCCCCCCACAGGAAAGCAGCGGAGAGTCAGAGGAGAAGCTGAGCCCCCCTTTGTACGTGGCCGAGCGGCAGAGGATCGGTACATATCAGTGAAATGTACGAGACCTCTGTGCAGGACAAACACTGGAGGGATCAGCTGATCACTCCAGTGTTTGTAAATAACTGGGGACACATAGTACTATGACTTTGTGTCCTCAATTTCTTTTTCTATTTTAAAAAGGAAATATCAGGGGGCTGTTTAGACCTCTAATATTTCCCGAAGCCCCCCAAGAGTTAAAAAATAAATAAAATTAAAACATTTTTTTTTAAATGTGTTTTTTGATGTGTGTGTTTTAGTGTGTGTGTTTTAATGTGTGTGTTTCATTACGTGTGTTGTTAATGTGTGTGACATCTATGTATGTGTGGTTTCTTTTTATAATAAGTGTGTGATGTCTTTTTTATTGAGTGTATAAATGTTTGAATATGTGTGTTTCCCTATTTTGCCTAAGGCAGTGATGTTGAATGTTTTTTAAAGCCCAGCGCCCAAACTGCAATACAATACAATACTTATTTTCAGCGCTGGCACTTTGAGATAAATAAATTGATTTTGCGTCGCAGTTTGGGCACTCGGGTTCAAAAACGTTCGCCATCACTGTCCTAGATTGTTCACTTCTCCTGCACTTATCTGTATCACTAGAAAAAAGGAAAACTCACCTTTTTGTTATTTTCCTTCACATTAAGTGGGTCCAAACCTTCATAATTACTGAAAGAGAGTAAATTACATTTAACTAGGACAGTTCATTATACACTTTTTCATGTGTCAAGGACTCAAAAAGTTGACAATCTATAAAACATAGCCAATACATTATGAAAGGTAATTTTGTATTTTCCTTACTTAATACTATAATTAAGAGCCACCAGCAGAACTGCAATAAAGTAAGGTGCTGTAACTGCTTCTGGGCCTACAATACTCATATGGGACTTATTAAACTTTCAGTAGACATTCAGAGACCTCAGCATACAATGACAAGCTTCTTTAGACCCCAGTGTTAGAGGTGATCATGGGAACACTCTGCGTGCACAGAAATAGCATGTTAAGACTGCTACACTAGTTCATAGCATCAAAATGTGCTGCCAACACTAATGTAATTGTCTCCCAGATCCACTCTAAAATTATTGTACACCTTAAAATATTCTACTTCCACCATTTTTCTGATCAAGAATAAAATTATAAATACAGAAATAAATTTAAAATGAAAAAAAAAAGAATACTGTATATAACTGAAAATGTAGGCCAAGTAAGTAAAAACCTTCGTAATATGTAATATGTATCTTATCCGGAAGCTAGTGAGGACCATGGCCCAATGATAGTGAGCCCTACAGCTCCAGTCGGTTCCCACATGGTGGGAGCTTCCTTCCCCATGTCAGAGGGGGAAGAAAGAGAGGTAGATGGTAAAAAGAAAAGAAGAGGAAGGAGGGGTATGGTACAGCCACGGGTCCGGGGTACCCAAAGATGCGTTCCTTCACAGAGGCATCCAACTATACAGTCACAAGACTATTAAAGCTCTCAGTAGTGCAGAAATGCAACCAGACACTCAAGTAGCAGTAAACTTGGCATCTCGGTGGTACAAAGCCGCAGTGAGCTCCTCCATCCGGCATATAGTATTCAATTCAAGCACCCTCTCACGGGTACTAGGGGGATTACTCGACTTCCAGTGTCGCAGTATAACTGCCTTAGCCGCCATCATGAAAAATCTGAGGAGGCCCTTCTTAGCTGAGGAGATCGAACCTGGGAGTACGGACAGGAGGGCCACCTTTGGAGACCTGTCTACCTTGGTGTGAAAGATCTGGTCATAGGTATCAAAGATAGCCTTCCAAAATGGGGTCAGCAGGGGGCAGGACCACCAGATGTGCAACATCGTCCCTGGATGCGACAGACACCGCCAGCATTGCCCAGGGGCAGAGGGGTACATAGCCTGGAGTCTAGTGGGGCAATAGTACCATCTCGACAGGACCTTATAATTTCTCTCTTGGTATCTGCTTGCTATGGACATGGTGTGCGTTAAAGCAAAGGATTTAGAAATGTCCTCGTCTGTGAGGTCGCATCCGATCTCTCTCTCCCAGTCCCTCACAAAAGAGGGGGTAGGCGAGGAACGCTCCGAAAACAAAAAGCCGTAAATAGTGGAGATCGTGCGTGCTGGGGGGTCTCTGGAGACACACAGTTTCTCAAAGGGAGAAAGCTCCCTTGTTGGGCATCCTCGTGCAGCAAGCCCGGCTAGGAAATCTCGCAACTGGAAATACACCAGCCATCTGCCCGGTAGCGCAGTACCCCCCCTTAACAACCCAGTGAGGGGCCATAAACTACCCGCCTGCAGGGCCCGACAAATAGGGCTAAAGGATCGAGACTCCAACCCAGGAACTTATGGGCAAGATGAGCCGGAGGAAAGTCAGGGTTGTCCAGAACCTTGGTAAGGGTGCCGTAGTATGAGGAAATACTGGAAGATTTAAGCAAGGAATCCCACACTTTAAGCATGGCGGGGAGAAAAAAGGGGAGACTGGAGTAAAGACAGACCCCAGCAGCGAAGCACCAACTAAAAGTAGGGAAATATATCCCCAAGCGTGGTCTGGGGACAAGGGCCAAAAAGGCAGCCACAGTCCCAGAGCACCACCTAGTGATGGCCATGTAAGGCAATAGCCCTGTGCAATCCAGGGACACCAAATAAAGTGCATAACAGATAGCAACAATAAAAGAACCAGCAGCACATTTTGAAACAGTAAACAGCAGGCAGCATCAATTAGAACCACCCCGCACGAAAGTACACAACATAACTGAACCAATTCCAGTATCCGTGTAGAAGATTCAAGGGAAATACCGGGCATAATGGGAGCCCCAGTGCCCTTGGACTCCCACTCGGGCCCATAACAACAGGGACCTTCTTAGGGGAAGGCAGCAAGTGCAAAAGTGTAAAGAGCCAGGACATAACATAATGGGCAGCGCGAGATAACCACAACAAAAACATGTAAGGCATGTAGGGCATGTATCAGTAAACTGTGGGTTTCTCAGCCGCCAAATAAACCCATGGACACACTCAGGATAGGGTAACGTGGCAGCTGAGGCAACCCCTGCCAGGGACCCTCACAGCAAAGGGGACGCAAAGCCCTGCGTTTATCCAGCGTGCGTTTGGAGAGGTCAGGGAACAGTGAGAGCTGTGCTCCATCAAAATCCACCGTGCCGGCCGAACGGGCTTTAGCCATGATATCCTCGACAGAGAAGTAGTGTACTCTACACAGCACGTCACGCGGCTGTGTCGCATTTGGTCTGCGAAAGCCCGGCATTCTGTGCACTCTATCCAGTTCAATGTGGTCGGAGACCAGTTTGTGCAGGAGTGTGTTAAATATCCCCAGAACCGTGGCTTTCAGATCTGATGCGCCAGTAGCTTCAGGGAGACCGCGTATGCAAATATTATTTCGCCTATTCCTATGTTCCTGGTCCTCCACCTGAGTCCATAAGGATTGAATAGTCACATGTTGTTGCTGCACAATATGCTGCAGCTTCACCAGGGCCACAGTGACAGGGGGCAAGGTGTTTTCAACCACATCCAAATGCTGGTGAATGGAGTGGAATCCCTCCTTAATTTCAGCCATCTCCTGCTTATGTGTGGATTCCAGGTTATGGAACATACTCTCAATGTCTCCCTTAGTAGGTAAAAGAGCAAAGTACTTACGAAAAGCAGAGGGGATATCTCTTTCGTCTCCCTTGCCATCACTAGGATCAGGGGTCTCTATATCCTCGCTAGCGTGCGTGGAGAGAAGAGATTCCAGTGGAGATGCAGGGGGTGACGGCCTGTGCTGCTCCCGGACCGCCGCCATCTTGGCTGCACTCTGTGCATATCTCATGGCACCCGTTTTCGGGAAAAACGCCCCGATATCGCGCCTCCTGGATGAAGAAGCCTGTCGGGCGGGTGAGTGGGACCTCTGCTTCTTATTGCCGCCCATCGCTGCGTTGTGGAGAGGCTACGAGCTGCTGGTTCGTGTGCCTGGGCCCTGCAATGCCGTCAGAGCTCTACAGAACACGTCCGCTCCCGGCCATTGTCAAGCCACGCCCTCCCAAAAGCACTATTTAAAGTGTATGTAAACCCTAAAGATGAACTCTTATTTGGCCCCGTTTGTCTGCTAAATGTACCATTGAAAGCTTTTGATATGTTTTATACTTGTTGATCTAGCTGGACATCTTGTGAGCTGACAATTTCCTCTGTCTCTCTGCCTGTGCTGAGAGGGATGAGTGATTGTTGTCATACTGTACTGAAAGTGTGTTACTGGCAGAATCACAAGGTAAAAATAAAGCAAAAAAAGGCTTGAAAAAAGTAAATTAATGCAGCCATCACAGCCAGAGTGCACAGATGCAAATAGACCCTTAAAGTCAAGGGAAAGACCCTACATATGTCTTCAAATAAATATTTTGTGCCTGAAGATGACCCTGGATTCTAGGCCCAGGCTGTATGCAGGGCCTTTTTTTCTCCAATAAAACATTAAACTTCACCCCTCCTGACACAAAAGCTAGTCATACATGTGTGGATTTCTCTTGATTTCCCCATCCATGCCAAACAGCATTTATGAAGGAATCGGCTATTGTACTTAGACAGCCGCCAGCACCCACAAGTGCCTAAATACCTGAAAAGTTAATGAATCCAATTAAGTTGCTGTATGGCTGTCAATTTTCCATCCATCTCCTTTCATTTTTAAACCAAGTTTTGAGGAGCCAGGCAGTGCTGACTGGGCTAACCATGGCTCATATTCTGCCCAATTTAACAGGAATTGCTTAGCATGGCATAGCTATGACTACGGCAAAGTAAGGCAGAAACTCGGTTGTTTTTGGTACAGATGCATGTGGAATAAAATGTGATTCTTTTTGGAAAAGCATCATATGCTTGTTTTGCAGTTTCTAAGACATCCACTCTGGAAGAAATCAGTCATCATGTTTCTGAACAACTGGCTCCAACTCCAGTGCTATATCACAAGGGCAAGAGCAGTCTCCACTATTGCAAGTAATTTAAATCAGCACTTAAAAACCTTTCGACTTTGATATCACTTTAAGTTACCCATGGCTATGAGATGGCAGTCGAAAGATCCTACTGCTGCAAAAGCAAAAGCATTCTGTGAAACAATTATGGCATTAACATGTACACTTTTTTTTTAACTAGGATTGTTGGTGCAGAAAAACTTTTAAATCCTAAAGTCTATCTCAAGCTCGAACTTTTTTTTTTTTTGTAGAGAGTAGGGAATGATTAGAGCCCTTGCTGAGTTTTTTGTTATCTTGCTGTGTATCACATTAAGGTAATTTTCAGTCACTTCTTGTCTCAGACAACATGAACTGCGAGAAAATCCCTTCTTCGACAGTTGCCATAAAAAAACAGAAAAAAAGATTCCTTCATCTCCTATTCCAGGTACAACCATAGAGATTTGCATTTTTCTAGGGATACACCGATACTTTGAGTACCAGTGCCAATACTTGGCATTTTCATGAGAACTACAAGGGTTTCAGCGGTTGCAGCTGGGACCTAGCTCTGGCGCTCCACCACTGTCCTGAAATCAATCGTCTGTATTGTTTTAGGAAAACTGTCACATGAAAATAAACAAAAATGTATCAGTACTTGTACTGGTAAGTACTTGGGCAAGTATCAGTACTTGTACTTGCAAAAATGGTATTGGTGCATCCCTTTATACATGTTTATAAAAACAAAATCATACATTAAAACAGAGATGTACAAATATCAAGAGCTCCGTGTGCTCCTTACAAATGACAGCTGCCTCATGAATTTTTCTCTAGTCTAGTCTTGGAGCTCAAAAAGTATCGGTACATGTACTTGTACCGAGTACGGTACTTGGTATCAGTGCATCCCTACATTTTTCCATCACTTTCTATCGTGATGACAATGGTTGCCAGGACAAACAGGGAGAGTAAATATTCCCAAAAACAGCAGTAAAAATATAACAAGAGTCATCATTACTGATTATTACCTGCTTTAGCTAAAATTATTGTTTGACTAGAGATCCACTTGAAGTGAGCCACATGTTATATCCCATGCTGCTAATGTCCACTTTAAAAATTAGTAAGTGAAAGACAGTCTTTTAGAGGCATCTATATAACTGAAAAGTGGACATCTGCCTACAGATCTGGTGAATAGCACGAAGGAGTCCCAGTGGCACACCACTGTTTGGTGAGATCCTGATGATATATACCAAGGCTTAAAATTTCAAGTCTAGACCTACTAGCCAGGCAAAAACCTTACTCTCCACCAGTTGTCCCACCAAACCTTGCCCAGGTCCGCCTCCAACCCTACCCCAACTCCGCCCCAACCACGCCCCCTTAACGTTTATGAAATTACATTTTTCTTTAAAAGAGTCCAAAATATAAAAAACAGCAATTATAACATAGCTTTAGCTTTATATTATGTTAACAGGGTGCAGATAAGATACCACAGTCAAAACTGGGGGGGCACTGATACTTTTCACCACTACCATATGAGGATGTGTGTATGGGCAGGTGTATGCGCAGCGTGCGACCGCTTCTACTGTAAGGTCGTACGACTTTTGTCTTCCAAGCACGCTGGAAAACCTGCCGAAAATCGTACGATTTTTGGCGGGTAGGTGGCGTGGCTGGAAAACGAATGCCGCACGGACTGCTCACAACATTCTTTCCTTCGCCAGAGCTCAGAACTGTCAGAGCTCCGGCCGAAGGAAGCCGGAACAGGAGCTGCTCTGCTCTCAAATTTTCACTCGCCCTCACCTTATTTTTACTCGCAAAATGCGAGCAGGCGAGTGGAAATTTTAAGCCCTGATATATACCGTATTTTTACTTTTCTTACCCAAAATTCAGAAATCAATATATTAAATTATATAATGCATCACACTTACCTCTGAGTCAATCACTTTATGCTCCGACATTACCGCTCTGGGGACTGGCTATAAAACTTATCTTGTCTCTGCCATCCGAAGTTTCACTCGTGAGGCTAGTTTGCAGTGGTATCGGCACTTTCATCAGTTTCGCAACCGCGGTTCTCCTCTCGGCCCCTGTGTATAAGACGCCCCTCTATTTTTAGGTAAACATTTTTATGAAAAAGTAGCGTCTTATACACGGAAAAATACGGTATATACAGTATACTAGTTATTAGGAAGGTTCCTTGTTTTTGCCTAACAAGATTTTAGGGCTAAATTATATGTGTGAGATACCATTGTAGCATAAGTGAGAGATCAGAGGTCCAGAGGTCAGTCTTGCTGTTATCACAGCTTCACACTCAATTTGGCCCAGTTTGAACAGCATACAAGGAATACGTTTACGGTTTAAAAAGATAGTTCTTAATGTACTTACTGTCAGGAAGCCAAAGCCAGGATTCTTTCATCGCCGTTTGCGCATGGTGCAGCTAATAGAGTTGTGTCAGGTGCACCGTCTCTGCGTAAACGTGCGCGTCGTGAGCCGACGTGTTGTTTGAGTTTTTGGCACCCTCTGGGCTATATAAGGCTGTGACTAACAAACCTCCTTTGCTGTCAGATCGTCAGCTTCCCTGTGTTCCTATATCCTGCTCCTGAAGTGTTCCTGTTATCTTGACCCGGCTTGGCTTGACCTTTCTGCTTCTCTCCAGTGATTGACCCTCGGCTTGTTCCAGACCATCCTCCTGCCTCACCCTCTGTACCTCGCTGCCTGCACGTTGATGACTTCAGCCTGTTCGGATTACCCTGCTATTCTTGTCTGCTGCTCCTGCTCATCGTCTTCCGCTACTACTGGCACTCCTGCCCCTCCGTGCCCCGGTGCTCCTGTACCCATTCAGGAGCCCCAGGACCAGAGAAGCAAAAGAGGCCGCCCTCGACATCTCAGACTCCCCTAAGGTACGTGACACTTACACATAAATAAAACTAAATACAACATACAATTAAACATACAAACCCACCAAATATACAGTCAAACCCCACATACATTCTTCACACACACACAATTGTACATTACTTACACATACATTTAAAAAAACTAATACTTTATAAACAATCTACTTTATGTCGCACTACAAACAGTTGTGCAAATAAGATTCAGGCATTTATAAACGTAATAGCTTGTAAGCTAATGAGGTCCTACAATATTACAGCCTAACTAAAAAGCAAAAATGTTTAGGTGATTTTCAACAAAGAGTTAACTGGAAAAATGAGATTTTACAGCCAATATTGTAACATTTTCAAAAACAGCTCTGCAAAACTTGTTTCAGCAATCAACAAAACATCCCCTGCTGTAGCACAAAGTAGCAATTTCATCTTTAGGTAATCCTAAACATGTTACAGATTACACAATTTGTGTATTTTATCTCTAAGGTTTTCTTTTAAATGAAAACATCTCATAAAACAGGATTTTTGTATTTACTATAAAAATGTTTCTGGGAGTTCATTAGGGGCACATGAATCAGTATTGATAGACAATTGGGTTATACTGCCACATACAGGAGGAATTAAGACACTGGCAAGCAAAAAAGCCATTGGCAAGCCGGGTATTACCTCTCTCACTCCTATCATGCTTAATTTTTGGTGAAAAGCAGTATTAGAAGTAGATAGCAAACACAGAGGGAGAGGAACTGGTGTCCTTAATAAAATCCCCAAAAAACAACAGATTTTATGGCAAGTACAAAAATCCTGTTTTCTTTCTCATTTATTAAAGAACACAGAATTCAGTATTTCCTAGAGAATAAGAATATCCAAAAGCAGTCCAACTGAGGGCTGGGCAACAGTAACAAAACACTAACAGGCTCACAATACCAATAAACAATAGAACTGAAGGCAGCCTGCACATGGCAAAGAAAGTGTGAACCGATGGCCAGGTAGCAGCGGTCTTTTTGATGATATTGCAAGGTCTACAATTTGCCCCTTGATGGTACTCAAACCCAAATGCTGATCCAGACCTGACTGCAGAAAGGTTAGAATTCTTACCACAGAGAATTTCCCAAGGTAAAATGTATATCCTTGAACCACGTAAAGTGTGCGTATGCCCTGCCTGTAGGCATATTCACAAAGTGAGTCTTCAGAGGCTAGCGTATACCAGAGGCTATGCCATGGCTCTGGAACTGAGGAGTGCTCTGAGGCTAACTAACACAGTACACAAGGGTTTGGAAAGCACCACATGTAGAGCCCAGTGCCCGAAAGTCACATTCGAAGCAAGTCCCTTACTCTTCAATCCAGCAGAGCCCAGGTATGACCTCCAAAGCATAGCTGAGGAAACACCGATTTGGATAGCTGCTGATCACTGCAGCATGTAGATGAAGTCTTCATTTAACCACTTGCCGTCCGCCCGTAGTAAAAAAACGGACGGACGGCACTGCAGCATTGGCGGGTTGCCGTCTCCAGACGGCATTTTTTTTCTGCTTTAGCGGGCACGCACGGGCAGAAAAGACCCGACCATTGCACAAAAATTTTTTTTTAAAATTTCAGTAATTTTTCCTTAATATAGTAAAAAAATAAAAACCCCAGTGGTGAATAAATACCACCAAAAGAAAGCTCTATCTGTCCCCAAAAAAGGGTATAAAATTAATTTCAGTACAGCGCTGCATGACGGAATAAATGTCAGTCAAAGTACCGCAGCGCTGAATACTGAAAAATGGCCTGGATGGGAAGGGGGTTTAACATCGCGGATGTCAACTGGTTAAGAAAAAAAAAAAAATTAAAATGGTTTAACTTTTCTCACTAGAGAAAAGATATCCATCCTCCTAAAACAATAGAAGCTAAAACTGAAGTATGATGGGAGTAGGAGAGGTTATACCTGGCTGGCCATCAGCTTTTTTGTTTGCCAGTGTCCAATACCTTCTGTAGGCAGCAGTATAACCCAATTTTCTATGAATACGGAATTGTGTCTCTTAATAAAAGACAATTAAATACTTTTTTTTTAATTATATGCTTAGTACATTAGACAATGCACAGAAGAATCTAGAAAAAACAGAGGGCAAACACATTGTTGGTGTTTGTATAATCTTCTTAATTATATATGTGTCATTATTTTAAAGTGATATGAGGGACACTTTATTTTCAATCATATGCCCTTTCTATATTATCATATCCACTGTGTTAATTTTACTCTGGTTCCCTTGGATCTCTCAGGTTCTCCTGCTCATCCTTTTTTTACTACTGTTTTACATTCATATACTTTACTGCATGGTGACACCTGGTTTACTTGCTCAAGTATACAAATGCTGGTGATGACAGTGCTGTTGCCAACCACAAAAGCCTATTAGTATCTTCCCTAAAACTCTGCTGTTTCTCTTATTTTTGTCTCTAAAAAATGCATATATTAGTTATCATAATGTAGTTAGAGAAACAATGGTAATGCTATTTAAAAAGACAGCCCATCCAAAGTTACTTTTCTTATATCTCTTAGAGCAGTGCTCCCCAACCTTTTTATCGCCGTGGACCGGTCAACGTTTGATAATTTTACCGTGGCCCATTACAACCCACCTGTTGCATTCCCCATAATGTAAAATAATTATAAAAGGTCAGTGAGAGTAGAGACCTCTCATAATGGCTGCTGCAGGTGTGCAGACCTGAGACACCAAGCAAATAATTATCTAGTTTCTGGTTATTCATAAGAAATGGTCAGAAGATTTAACACTGTACATAAAAGGTCTACCAAAAACTGAATGAAGTATCCCTTACATGCTTTCAGGGTGGAAGTGGTGAAGGATGGCACAAAAACCCAGCCCATTTCTCCATGATGTGGTGAAATTGTTGACTCGCACTCCACGATACCCAGCCGTCACTTCTTGACACCAGCGGAGCAGGGAGTCAGTACTTAGAGCTTCCTATAAAGATAAAACTGGACACATGAGTATAGTAATTTCTTTTAAATGTTGGTAAAAAGTGTGTCATTAAAAAGCAAAAACACACCCATAATTATTAGTACATAATACTAATAACAAAGCAAGCCATTTTATAATACGAACAATGGCCAAATGCAAATCCCGCAGTTTAGTATTTGCCAAAGCCGTCACAATTTGCCCCGTGCTACATGCAGGTTGTAAGTTAAGGTAGTAGGTTTATTCTGCAGGACTGTAGCACAAGAAAGATGCTTTTTATGTTTCTATCAGGCAGGGAGAATATTGTACAGCTCTAGACTGGGAGTAAGAGGAGGAGCAACATGTACACATTGATGAGGAGGAAACTACACTGGGGACCTAAGCAAATCAAGAAAGAGAAAGTGCTGATATGCAAATCTTGAACAGGAAACAGAAAAAGGGGCTTCTAGCACAATGTAGAACAAGAAACAGGTTTACCACAAAAACAGACTAATGCAAGATATTAATTTATGTGGATATTTTATGTTGCTATTGCATGGCTTTAAAATGTTTTTGAAAAATAATAGAACAAATAATGATTAACAGAAAGCATGAAATGGCAGGAAGCAGGTCAATGCCACTGCCTGGCTACCCTACTTTCTCTCCTCAGAAATACCTACTATTGGTGACTTTAACATTGTTAATAACATTAACACCCTGGCTTCCACTCAATTTCTTAACCTAACCTCTTCTTTTGATCTAACACAATGGACACACACTCCTACTCACTCTGATGGTAACATACTAGATCTTGTTTTCTCTCACCTATGCACTCCTTGCAACCTCTCCAACACCCCTTTTCCCCTCTCAGACCACAACCATGTCAGTGTCACACTCACCCTGTCCCCAAACCTAAATCCCCCTACATGTTACCCGGAGAAACCTTCACCACCTCAACCCTGCTCTTCTCTACTCTGCTACTGACTACTTCTATCTCGTGTTCACTATTGTAACTCCCTCCTCATTGGCCTACTTCTACACAGGCTATCCCCCCTTCAGTCTATCATGAATGCAGCTGTTAGACTCATCCACCTAACCAACCGCTCAGTGTCTGCAACCCCCCTCCTGCTTTCCAGCTCCCACATTAACTCCTACCATGCTCACCTCCAGGACTTCTCTAATCTCTCCCATCCCCTGGAACTCTTTAACCCAACCTGTCCGATTATCTCCCACTCTGACTGCCTTTAGGACTCATCTCTTCAGGGAAGCCTATCCCACCTCAAACTAACCACTCAACCATCATGTTCTCAAACGACTCATCCCCACACAGCTATCTCCTCATGTAATCACTTGCCACTGCCTTTTAGATTGTGGGCCATCCTAACCATCTTGTCTTGAATTGTATTGTGATTGTAATGTCTTCCTTATATTGTAAAGTGCTGCACAAACTGTTGGCGCCATATCAATCCTGTATAATACTAATAATAATAATTGCGATCAGTAAACCCTAGGCCTTTAATGTTAGTACTGCATCTGACTAGAGAAAGAAAAAAGGAATTTTGCTACACATAGGCAACAAAGTAAAAGCTAGGATAATATGTCCAACTAAGGTCTGGAAGAAAAGGATTACCAGATATACTTGCACTCTTGCTCCGTTAAGTAAATCGGACTAATAAGACTTAGTGTAAAGCAGAAATGAAGATCAATTTATAATAATGGATGGTAAACTGCAAAAATTGCTACCATCAACATTGTTTTTTATCGCACAAAAAAATAGAAGGCAAGAATATTTAAATTGTGAAGCAAGGAACAGCAGCAGAGGAAAGACCATCTACAAAGCAGACACAGTACCAAAGGTTTCTCTGCATGGCTGAAGTATGCAATGTTCCTAAATGGAGAATAGTAAAGTCTTTTGAGTAAAAGGATTAATACTCTGTAGTTGTAGAAGGGGAGTGACTGGTTTAAGGCTTGTATAACAAATTTTACTTCAGCTACTAAAATATATGTTAAACCGTGCTACTAAGCACAAATAACTATTAATACAGAAAAGACTAGACATTACATAAACACAGTAATATTTACAACTGAATTTCATACATATATGGGCTGCATTCTATTTCTGCATGATACTGGATAAGCTAAATACTGTAATTTGTACAGGGGCCAACAGAATGTAAAGCATAAAATCCAGCCACTCTATAAAAGCCCATCTTTAACCTTTTATGGACTGTCATGCTACTTCAAGGTTATCCTTTACTGTCACATATTCTGTATTTATGACTGCAATCATGGTTGTCTAAGCTCATGGCCCATATAATTAGTTTAAAGGTCCCAAACATAGGGTATTTATGAAATTACTTGGGTTTTTTTGCATTAAGTATACTACATATCTAAAGATGTGGTAGCTGCATTCGTTTTTTTTTTCAAGTTAAGAATATTTTCAGCAAGTGCAGAAAATACCTGTTGATCTTGCCAGAAATGTATTGTCCTTGACACTTCCAGTAAGCTGACCTGGAAATGTGAAACAATGTTATTTTATTTGTGTACACTACTAATGCCATCACCCCTATATATTGGAGATAAACAAAGGCATATTTGAAGTCCAGCCTGGGTAACAACTATGGCTACCTCCATAGAAACAGTGGAGGAGTGAGGTACAGGAGGTGTGTTATTCTTAGAATTACCAGGTAAAAAAAAAATAAGAGAAAAAAGCCCAAAAAGAAAATGAAGTAGCATCTAAGGCTGGTAAGCAGCAATAAATAAAAACATTGTTTTTGGGTTTAGAAGCACTTTAAATTGTGTAACGGCCTGGAGAAATTAAGTGGACAGCAGTAAATCATGTTAATGTACCTGCATGTACAGTATATCTATATATTTTAATACAAATAATACTGCTGTTTAACGTGCATTTTGAACATTCCTGCTTTATTAACTTTTTTATTCTTTGCTTACTAAGATTTTTTTTTTACTGCATCCAACTGCAGAGTATCATCCCAGTATATATCTCTTGTACTATGATACAAAATGTATCTGCAGCCATGCAGAATTCCTTTGTGTGCTCCCCTTGCAGGGTATTACTACATTGACCACATCCCATGCAGAGTGTCTCTTCCTCATCTATGTCATAGACTGTCACATACCTCCCCCACATGCCCTGAGTACTCGGTCAGTCTCTTCTTTTCTGTGCTTCTCTGTTGTCCAGGGATTGGTGTAGGGTAAATTGAAAATTTGCACTCTGACAACATATCGGTCGTGGGTTCCTCACCTTCAGATGTTATGTTACTTATAGAATTTGTGAGAAATGTCTCAGCAACCGGACAGACAGTAGGTTCAGTGACCTGTATTGTTCCTTCTTTGCCACCTGAGAAAAGTAATGTCTCTGGCTCTGACACTATCTCTAACGCCTTGTTATTTTGATCTACGTGCTCTGCCTGTTGCATTGCTGTATTCCATAAACATGTCTTCTGTTGTTCTATACTTTTTACTGGTGTCCATTGTGGCTCATTCTCTTGCAAATTATACTCAGACACAGACAGCATATCTGGGTCTCCTTTTTCTGTTACATCTGTGTTCCCCTCTTGCATACTCTCCCCTACATCTTGCTCTTCAGTTTTTGACAGTGCCTTCTCTTTCTCTTCTACCCTATGGTCATCTTTCCTAATATTTTCTTTTGTTTCAGCTTGACCAAGTGATACTTCCTTGTTAAAAACATCACAATTTACTGTATTATCTGTTTGTAATATATTTTCAATCTTGTCATGCATTCTAATCTGTAGAGTAGTTTGTTGGCGGTTAATTTTATCTTTTACTAGTAGTGATTTTGGTGTTTCATCAGCTTGCTCTCTGTTTTCTCCAATGGGCATATTTTCTTGCTGTTCTGCCTTTATTGCTATAGTAGATACTCCTACTCTCTCTTTTTTCAGAGTTTTTATTACTTCTGCATTTACTTCATCCTGTGTTTTCACTTCCTTTTTACTTGATGTGTCTTGGACATCTTCTTTGAGAAATGTATTATCTTTGACTGAATCTTTAATATTTGTTTTAATTTGTAATATAGAATATGTCTCTTTCGGATTTGTCTGTTCTTTGTCCACTAATGCCGCTTTCTCTTCAATCACTACTGATGAATCAACTTTTCCCTGTGTTGCTTTAAGGTCCTTATATTTCTCATAATCTTCTATTTTTTTATCTACTTTCTCCAATATAGCATCTTCCTCAGATGTGCCTTCATTCACTGCTCCTTCAAAATTATCTGTTTTTACTAGGCTTCTCTTATTTATCAAATTTGCATTTTCTTTATGTGTATCACTTATATCTACAGCAGGACTAGCTTCAGCTGTTTTTTCAACCAAACACATCTCTGCCAAAGCATTTACTTGATTTGGTTCATCTACCGTTTTAGATGCTTGCTCATCCCATCTTTTATCTGTCCAAATAATGTTTTTTTTCATCCTATTTTCATTGAAAGACTGTTCATCATTAGCTGTTTCTTCAAGCCATTGCACATTTATCAAAATACTTTTTTCTTCTAGTCTGTGCTCTAGATTGTGTATCTTTTCCATTCTTGTTTCTTCTTGAAGCAATCTATCTTCTTCACAAAGACTTATATTTTCTTGTTCTTCTGCTTTTGCACTTGCAGCTACTTCTCCACCCACTCGCTCATTGCTCCAGAGAGAATTCACCTTATCTTGATCCTCTAGTTCTTCAGGCCTAACAGGCTGTTTAAAAGATTTCTGTTTGGTATGAAGGAATGCTTCTTTTTTTTCACCCGTCTGACCTGAACTTTCACTACTTTTACATGGTTTTTCATCATGTCTCTGAAAAGAATGGAAATGTGACTCTCTTACCACATCTTGTTCTATTACATCTTCAACCTTTGCATGTTCTTTTTGTGGCATTCCATTTTTCCAAAAAAAAAATTCTGCTAACGTGTGGTCCTTTCTATCGCATGTGTTTATGGTAACTAACTTTCCACTGGGTGATATAAATGTACCTTTTGCACTATACTGATTTATAGTTTTTCCACATTCATTAGTTTCATCTTGGTTTGTCCCGTTTCTCAGAATATTATATTCTGTTAATAAATGTTCTGTTAAATTATGTGTTGGCTCCACCTTTCTAAATACTCCATCTCCTTCCCTCCCCAGTTCACTAAATTTCTCTTTTTGCTCATTGGCTACTTCAGTTAATTCTTTTTGCCCCTGCTCCTCATCCATAACTAATATACCTTTCTCTGTAACATCTTTCATGTCTGGTTTGTCATTTGCTTTACTTCCTAGCTTTACGAACCCATGCTTTCCATTTTCTGTTACAGCTATGGAGTATATCTCTTTTGTGTTGTTTATAAATCCTTGTATAACTTCAGTCTCAAGGCTACTCTTTTCATCAGCTTTAATTAATTCTGTCTGTGTTTTATTAACCCCTTCCTGAATGCCTCCCTCTAATCCTCCATGTACAGTTTCTAACATATAAATAGCATCACTGTCTCTGTCATGTACTCTTTTATCTGTGGACAGTGATGAGCCTTGCAAACTTTTATTCACAACTGCAACATTATACAAACTTTCATGTACTGATGTTGTAATCTCTTCTGTATTTTCACGTTCACTCACACTATTTTCAGTTATTTGTGTACGCTGATGGATGTTTCTTTCTCTTTGTATAGCATCTCCACCCTTGATTCTTAAAGCTTTGGCTTTCCCGATAGTCATTTCATGGGTTTCTGTGGGTATTTCCACTGAAAATTCTTCAGCTCTGTTCCTTTGTATGGTCATTGCATGATGCTCTCTCTTTTCTTTCGTTTCCTTGATTTGAGCCTCTTTTGTGCCATCTGTTTTTGTAATTTTCTTATGCTCAGCCCAGTCTTCTCCAATCTCTCCTTTATCTCTTCTATACTGGTATTGTCTGTATTGTCTATCTATATTGACTGTTCCTTCTGGTGCATATTCTATTTGATTATGTTTAGTATCAGTGCCCACTTCTTCCTCTATTTTAAGTGTTGTGTTTTTTAGACTGCCATTTGTAATAAGCAGCGTGTGTTGCAGTGTTATTTGTTTAGCACTACCTAAATTTAGATTACTCTCTTCATTCCAGACTGATTTTTCTTTTACCACTACTGGTTTACTCTCACTGGTATGATTTTTGTGGGCAGGTCCCTGTGTTTCCTGTTCCCGTTCTGTAGTCTCTCCCACTGAACATTTGTTTTGTCTCCCCTGTAGTATGTTTTCTGGTGTGGAAATAACCCCACTATCTCTCACTACTGTTTCTTCAACAATATGTTTTACTTCAGATGCCCTGGTTTCCATACTGTCTGTTTTTGCTAAACTTTGTTCTGCATTTAGTATAGGCTTTTGTAGGTTTTCTGGCTCAAACAGTGATGTTACTATGATTCCATGTGGCTGAACATCTACTTTGTTACCAGCCTGTTCTGTTTCTGTATGGGGTTTTCCGTCTAGATTTTCTGACTGTGGCACTGCAGCTTCCTGTACTCTTTTTTTTGTAATGTGATATATTCCATGGATTCTCTTTGTATCCTCATAGCTGCTTGCCTTGGGTGAATTTTGTGTGTCCCTTGACATTTTAAAACTATCAGCTGAATTGCATTCTGTCTGTTCCATATTTTTAGAGTATAGTTCTTTTTGTACTGACTTGAAAGTAATCTCAGGCATTTCTGCTAAGTTCTCATTAGCCTCAGGTGATGCCTCTTGAACTTGATTTGTATCATGATATGTTATATGTCTACTGAAAGATCCCTCACTTTCCAGCACATCCTCACGGACTGCATCCATCACTTTTGCATTTGTTTGATGTGTGTTCTCGGTTACCTGTCCTGGCCTAACTCTACTTGGAATAACTGGTGATTGAGTTACCTTGAGGAATGTTTCATCTCTTGCTGATATATTATTCTGTACTATACTAATTTCAATACCATTGTTTGTTCTTATTGCAATCTCAGGAATATTCACTTTTTCTGGCTTTATATCTTGTAGGCATCCTACTTTCTGCAAATCCTCCATGTTCTCCCTATACCTATCCCTGGAGTCTGACTCAAGTTGTTTTGTGGCCCTCTCATTGACTACTTTCGTATGCTCAGGGCTGAACTCCCGGGTCTTCCATACCTCGTTATACCTAAGAAGACAGATAAAAAAAAGAAAAAGAGGGTCATTTACAATACTAGGTAACTCTGTAATACAAATAAACCTCATGTACAAAAGGTGCCTGAAGAAAAATTGTTAATTGTCCACAGCACTTATCCAAATATATGAAAATTTCTGAGTTCTGGTTTTGTTCAGCACAGACAGTTCATGTTTTATTAATGTTCATACATAAAGCCCATTGTCTTTGTGCATGTTTTTAAGACTTTTTCTACAATTATTGTGGAGCTATAGTAATACTACTAAGATTTTGTTTATATTTTTGTATGATCTGCATAAAGCATATTTAAGATTCAGTGTTTCCTCCATGTAGAGTGTGCCTAAGCATGGATTTTTACTTATTCTTCCAGGGGCTGTTGTGCATGCTCCAGAAGGCTGTGATTGAAAAGTTAAACTGTGTCTAGTGAACCCTTTACAGAGCAGCATATAGTAATACAACAATGGGTCTCCCTGTGTTTCCCCTGTGATAAACCCCATTAATAAATACACAGCACACCCTGAGTTTGCTCGAATACCTCAATCCTAGGGTCGGGTGCTATGGATTACTGCAATTTAGCAATCTTCTTGTCTAGAGATATTTTCATTCACTTTGCCCATTAGCACTTACCGCCCTCTATGGTGATCGATTAAAGCGATGTCCAGACCATAGATAAGGTGCTGAAAACTTTTATTGATCAACTTCAGGGAGAGAGGTTAAGGGTTAGGATCATCCAGGCAGATGTAGACTCCTTTAAGTGACAGGGTGTAATAGCTGTCTCCATTCACAGCATGGAGAACACCTGTCACAGCAGCACTTGAGGTAGAAGTCACCAGTCATATTCATTCTTGTCATCAGTAGAAGCCACTGAGTCTCCAGACTCAGACCTCAGTGTAAGCACATGGCTAGTCCCCAGGCTTCAGATCTAGCCCTCTCAGACAGTCCATAGCAGCCTCCCCACAGGAGGAAGCGAGAGCTCACATGATCCACCCCAAGTATTTATCTCCTCCCCCAGCATGCACCACTGGCCATTAACCTCACAGTGATTGGTTGGAGGGGGATACCTACTCATAGCAATCCCTCATTGGTTGTTCTGATCTATGGCCAAGGTACATCCAGCAGCGGACAGATACAAAGGATGACTGATTGATTAGGGGGGAAACCAAATGAACATTGACTACAAATCACCATCAGACTGCTTACAATCTGACAAAAACTAAATTTAATAGCACCCCTGCCTACAGGGTGCTACATGTGTAATGAATGTTTAGCAACTCAGCCACTCTTGAGGAATGAGTAGTGAAGAGCTGGTGATGTGAGTTGAAGATATTTAAAAATATCCTATAATAGGATTTTCATTGTTTTACGTCCATTGAGGGACACATGAATTTAGCAGTTCTTGGCCATTCTGATTATACTGCTGCCTTCAGGAGCTTGAACCACTGGCATGTTAAACCAGCCCCTGTATAACCTCACTTCCAAATGTCACAATAACAGAGAGGGAAACGACCTGTATCCTAGAAAGGACTTCAAGAAAATTATTTTACAAGAAGTACAAAATTCTATGTTGAACTGTCCATAGAGGGATACAGGAAATCAGTGATTCTTGATTTGGAATGTTAAAAAGCAGTCAACCTGGAGGGTGAGCAACAGCCACTGAGAGATCATTACAAGAACATCTGAAAGGATCAATATTTGTGTGACTCGATGAAGCTGGATCAAGCAAATATGGAAATTTTCACCACCCATGGGAGGAGTACCTAGAATCAACCTAGTTCTTCAGGCCAGGACAGCTAATCACCAGTAAGGAAAAACTGCTACCTGAAGAATGATGAGCCTCAATTAGCAATGTAAAGGATAACCACTCACCATAATGAAAACATATGGAATAACAAACTTCCTGAGCAGGATATACAAACTTGGACAGCTTAGGTGGTCTGCAAGAAGGAACATTTACTAGATTTTACTAGAGTAAGAGCCTAATCATAGATTACATATCCCTTGATTTAAGGCAAGGAACCTAGGATGGACAAGGTATTTCTTGAAAAAAGTCCAACCAGACTACAGTCGGAGGTTTGAATTAAACCCTTCACTTGAGCGAGAGGGAGGTTCATAAAATGTAGGATGTTACCTGACGGACAAGTAATTTCTGAAGGAGACATACATGAAAGTGAGAGCCCTCTCAGCAGTTAATCCAAAAAGAGGGAGACAAAAAGTCTTAAAAGAGAACTATGGGGTAAGTGTTTGCCCCCATAATTCTCTTTAGGGTCGCGGGAGGATATATACTAATCCCCATCCCGTGACCCGAAGCTCAGTATAACGCGGGCTTCCACCCAGCTGCATGAGTGACAACTGGCAGAGCCAGCTGTGCCCGTCCCCTCCCCGTTTGTTCCTCCACCCATCGCTGGAGGATCGGAGAGGGGAGGGGGGAATCCCTGTGAGGAGCGGTGACTAACAGTCACTGCAGGGAGACGATCGGTGCATGTTTCTACTCACCTCCTGATCAGTAGAGCCGACCTGTAACAGCTTCTTTGTCAGAGGTCAGTTCTGACTATGAGGATGAGTGGAAATCACTCACCACATAGCTCTCCTTTAAGCTAGGGACAAAAGACGTGTAGTAACCCTGAAACCTTGGAAATGAGAAAGTAGGGTGAACAACCACACCTGTAGAAATACAGTGGGTAGGCAGGGGTGAACATATAATGTAATGCAACTGGGGAACAAGGGTATCAGGACTAGAGGTATTAGAAAGAGTCCTTCTGGAAAAAAAACTATAGGTGTTTCGGGGTGTGATATCTGTAAAGTAAACCTGCCTAACCAATTATAATAAAACTTAGCGCTACAAAAGGCAGGATCTTCTGAAGAAGAACCAGGAGTAGAAATCCTAGTACAAACTCTAGCAATATTCGATTGATAGAAATAGGAAGAGGAAGGAATGTATGCACACTTTACTCAGAAAACTGCAGTTTAGATACAGAAAAGGACCTATCTTACAATAACCTGGTCCCACAAAGACCTCTGGACTTGCACTATCCAACTTATGAGAATTCAGGGTAGTGGAGTGTCCTTGCTGCTGACCGTGCAGGGAAATGCATGGCTTATTAGGAATGGACACTTCCTTGGAAGGAAGAAAGGAGACACACTAATGTAGCTACCTACCCTTAAAGGGCAAGCAAATCAAACGCTCCTTAAGTGTGTCAGGCACAAAGCTTAACCTCCTGCCGTCCGCCCATTGAGAAAAAACGGACGGACGGCAGACTCGCATTTGCAGGTTGTCGTCTCCAGGCGCATTTTTTTCCTGCTCGCGGGCACCACCTAGCGCGCGCGCACGGGCAGGAAAAACCCGTCCGTTCTGCACAGCCGTTGCCGGCTGTTTCCCATACAACCGATCAGCGGCTCTATAGCCGTTGATCGGTTGTATGGTGTGATTTGGTCACCCGCCCCCCTCCTGACCCCTCACCTTCAATCCCGGGATCCGCTAGCCCATCTGCGGCCCGGGACCGGCTCGGGAGGGTGTCAGGAGGTAAGATGGGAGAGAGTCAGCATCTTCCTCCTTTCTGACCTCCCTCCGTACTGTGAATGCAGAAGTGGGGTGTATTACATCACTTCCGCATTCACCTGTCAGTCATCTGGCTGCTATAGCCAGAGAAAAGAAGCTGATGAAGCAGAGATCTCTGCTTCATCAGCTTCTTTTGGGGTCCCCAGGTGACATTAGGGGTCCTAGAGACTGCTAATGTCTTCATAAAGAGGACGTCAGTGTGCCTTTGCTATTATATAGGGGGATTGTATCCCCCTATGTAATAGCAATAACAATAACTGTAATTTTTCCTTAATATAGTAAAACATAAAACCCCCAGTGGTGATTAAATACCACCAAAAGAAAGCTCTATCTGTCCCCAAAAAAGGGTACAAAATTCATTTCAGTACATCGTTGCATGAAATAAATGTCAAAGTACCGCAGCGCTGAATACTGAAAAATGGCCTGGTTGGGAAGGGGGTTTAACACAGCGGACTTCAAGTGGTAACAGGGAGAGGGGGAGAGCGGTGACATGTGACGGGGAGACAAGTCAGAGATTTCCTGTACAGTGTGGGGGGGCTGAACGATCAGAGCACATAATGTGAGAGACATTCGTCTCTTTCTCATAGAACACCGGAGCTTGCAGAGAGGGGGCGGGGATATGTAAATACTAAGCAGCTGTAAGGAAGGGCGGGGTTATGGTAATAGCTGAACAGTAGGGGGAACTAAGATTTAAGGGGAACAGGTTTCCATACAACTGCTGCACATTTTCAAGATGAAGAGAGACGAAGGGGCGGCGGAGGCACTGAGGAGAAACAGCCTTCCATGTACGTGCTGTCATTTGCTGGCACAGACGACGGGGACATGGAGGTTTAGATTGTAAGCCCTCACGGGCAGGGCCCTCCTTACCATCTTGTCTTAAATTGTATTGTGACTGTAATGTCTTCCTTATATTGTAAAGCGCTGTGCAAACTATTGGCGCTATATAAATCCTGTATAATAATAATAATAATAATAGGAAGAGAGCTGCTGCGCATGCACATGTATTCGTGGATGCGCAGCAGTTCTTAAGGAACGCCGTCAGTCACAGTGAGAATGATCAGTTGGGAGGATCCCGACAATATTGTCGGGATCTCTCCCCACTGCGGCGCTTGGATTATAGTAGTAAATTGCAAAATGTACTCCTATAGCCCATGGAATCCAAAAGTAAAGAAAAGCTTGGACCCCCATAGTTCTCCTTTAAGTAATTTTTAGGCCTAAAATGTGGACTATAACATGTAAACAAAAAATGAAAAAAAAGGCCTCGGTCATGAAGGGGTTAAGCAATGCGGCCTACAAAAAAATTGTAGAAACACTAGGTATAGTGTGTGTAGCATATTAATTCTACTGAAAAATATTAACTTTACTTTGTTTTTTGACTTCCAAAGCTTAATGGGGGATGTGGTTTAGGCAATGCCAATATGCACAATATTCCTTTATT